GGGGGAAGCCTTTCATCAGGGACTTTGAAACGTCAATGTGCAGACAGGCCTAATACCCAGCCTGGAGTAGCCCGAGTACTGGGCAGGCATTATACAGGGTGGGCTACCGGGGGGGGGACCTTTTCAAACCGGGTCTAAATGGTCGCCGGCCCTTACCTCTGATGACTCCCATGATGAGCGGATGTGGAATGGCTGACTTGATCTGTAGTGACTGTTCGTACAGCGCCTTCAGCTTCTTATTGTTTTTTTGTGCTGTGTACATCTGTATCTCCAGTGCATAGATTTCCAGCAGTTGGGTGCCCTTCTTTAAGTCGTCCGTGCCGTCTTTCGTCTGGGGGATGAAAAATTTGTGAAAAAGACAAGTAAGGAATCTGTCAAATGACGATCAGTGATAAACCTCAATCCTCCAGGTTCCCTGTGTCCACCACTAGGTTTTGGAGAATTTTACAGGATCGAGGAAGATACAACACAAGAACTTGGGGGGGTTGACGCTCCTTGATGGTAAAGAGAATATGTCACTGGTCTCCTACGCAGCAATGCATTCTGAAGAATTCAGGATGATTCTTAGGCAAAAAAGCCAAGACACTGATTCATAGCTCCTTCCCCCCCCCCAAAAAAAAACAATTAAAAAATAAACCTTGCGAAAATAAATCTACATATATTTAAATTTTCAAGGGCAAAATGCATCCCCTAACTAGCCCGGACTTTCACTACGAAAACGTCAGAGTGGGCCCCAAAATATTGTTCATTTCTTGTTTGCCACAAATACTGTCAAAGTTGCGCTCTCGGATAATCCAAGATTTTCATAAACAGGAACATAATTAAAATTTTTAAAAAGGTGCAAAGCTTAGTGTAAACATTTCCTAAAAACAATGTATTGAACTGAGCATCTAAATCTGTCTTAAAATGGTCCAGGAAAGAAACGAATAGCCATCAAGGGAGTTAGAAATATTCAGAGAAAGCAACCTGTACTACATCGCATCATTTCTTCTGCAAACCATCTACAGTACCTTGCATGCTTGATGTAGCTGCTTCAGGATCTTGGCAAGTTTGTTGAATTCTTCTCTGTCAAAGTACAGCTTGCCCAACTGAAAAATTACAATCAAGACAGCAATTGAAAACATTAGACAAGAAATTAAATTACCAAGGACAATTGAACATTGAGATTTCTACAAGGACTGAAACGTAATTCACATTGGTTCAAAGCTGTTTTCTTAAGAGCAGTTTTCCCCGAGCGAAACGCATTGCCATTCTCTTTCGGTATCAAGCAGTTATTTCTGTACCCAAAACACTGACAATTCAATCTACTTGTAGACTCTTAATTTTCAGAACGGAGCATGGCCACATTGAAGCGTGGATTTTTCTGAGGTCAATTCTCTATCGATGTTCGAAGGTAAACATATCCAACTTCACGGAAATAACCTGAGAACTAGAAAGTTACCAAGCCGACGCATTTGGGGAGCAAGAAGTGTACCTTTGTGTTTGTTTTAAACCAGAGTCGGTCGTTCTTGGCATCTTTGAGAGCCATTAGTGTCGTCTCGTAGAACTCCTGCAGGAGAGCCATGTTCTTGGACGTCGAGATGTAGTCCAGGATGCTGTTGATGGACTTCTCTGAGTAGTTCCTCGTCACTGCACTCTGAGGCACACCAATGATAAAAAGGGGGGGGCAGTGGTTCAGTTGATGGGTACAAAAGCTTTAACTTTTCCCAGCAGAAATCGCAACGTATTAATTCCTTCTACGTCAGCTAAGCTCTGATTGGAGTCGATCATGATTTGAAAGCACATGGGTATCAATAAACCGTGATACCTTTGGTCTGCTGCTCAAGTAAGATTTTGAGTCATTCTATAAATTTGGGGTCCAAAGTGTTGCATTTTTCCGTCCCTGTTACACCGTTACCTGAATACATTGACAAGGGGTATATCACTGATAACTGATTTCAAACTATTTTTATTTGTTTGGCAGGTAATCTGCGGAACTTAATCAATCTTGGAAATTAAAATATGAGTTCTAAACATTAAAAAATTATACGCCAGACGTAACAGGGATGGGAAACACTTGTACCCCAAATTCATAGAATGACCCTTTTCCCAAGTAACAAGTCCTCTCAATTCACTAATACAATTTCACACTACTTTTCACACCGTAAAAATTAACCCCATTTCATTACCATCACCATCGATAATGTGATAGATCAAAGATGGTCACTGCAACTTGAATTCAGATCTGTATACTGTTCAAACTATTTTGAGAAATTGAAAACTGAACCGCCATCATTATGGACGGAACTGGCCGTTCCTAGTCTAAAGTACAGACACTTGCTTCTGGCTAACTAGAGTAACTAGAAGATTCCAAACTGACCAGGCAAGGAACAAATGCTTAAAGCAAACCAGTCCAAAATACACCTGTACAGGACAGTGTTCTAGCTAGGACCATTTTAGTGCCAGGTAAATTTTTGGATTACAAAGCATAGTGAGCGCAGTTCTTAATGCTTTCTGATGCTTGAAATACCATCGAATTGGTACATTTAAATTTTCAAGTAATATTTCAGTTCATTTTTTGGAAAATCCGTGTGGCACAGCCAATTTCAACCCTGAGTGCCGCGCGGAAATTTGCAGTACCGGGTGGTGCCACCTGGCGCCGCCCACCGCAGCTAGAACCCTGGTACAGGAGTGTTCCAAACTATATTGTCTATATTCCAAATCTCACCTTGATGTAAGTTAAAAGCTGCTTGTACCTCTTCATCATTTCTTCATAGTTTCCCTGAGAAAAACAAATGCAGCTGTGAATTTCTGTATTTTTCGGGCAGCTAAAAAATCTCAGAAAAGTGGACACAACCAATGTGCTATCTTTCACCTTAATTAATCTGCTGCAGGACTCTACCGTTCAAGGAAAAGACAAAGTGGAAAAAATAAAAAACTCTTCATTCCTAATTGCATGACACAATACTCCAAAGTTACTGAGCAGTCTACTGGCACTCAACAAAGTTATGTGGTACAAGAAAATTACACAGGACTGAAACTTTGCCTATCATGCCAACGTTTTTGAATGAAATCTCATGGCCAGTTGATCAGACAACAGAATGCTCATGATTGCACTGCAAATTGAGGGAATACTCAACCACTTGTAGCTGGCGAAATATTAATGAACACGCATGAATTTGAAATGGATTCATGCAGCAACATGGACTCTGTCAATATCCCACTTGGCCTTTTATCTGACCGCTAATTGTAATTTATTTTCACTCACCAATTTAAAGTTGATTTTAATCATTTGCTTCAGAGCCTTGAACCCCCAGTCCCCTTTGTCCTCCTCCAAGTCCAGCACCTGGGGTCAAAGGTAAAGGGTCAAACTCAAGTTCTTGTCAACACACTGCAGCTAGAACTGACCACTGCTGTATCATTGGTGTTTTCATGAAGTAACAACAGCAGACATAATTCCAAGATGTTTGAAAATATTTCCCCTTTCATGAAAAACTAATATTGTCAATTACTTTGTGTTGTGTTGTGTTGTTGTTGGTGTGTTATTGTGTGTTGGTGGTGTGTTGGTGGTGGTGTGTTGGTGTTGTGGTGGGGAGTGTGGTGGTGGTGTGTTGTTGGTGTGTAGTTGATGTGTGTTGGTGTGTTGGTGGTGTGTTGGTGGTAGTGGTGTGGTGGTGGTGGTGTGTTGCTGGTGTGTAGTTGGTGTGTAATTGGTGTGTTGTTGGTGGTGGTGTTAGTGGTGTGGTGG